CTCAATTGGCGTGAGGGGCTGATTGGGGGTGGGGCCAGTTGGGAGGAGGGGCGAAGGACAGTAGGTTGGCCAGCCCCACCCCTGATTGGGGAGAAGGCTGACTGGGGACCAGGCCAGTTAGGAGGAAGGGCCATGGGAGGTTGGGGAGCCAATTGGTGCCCCCATCTGGCTGCTTGGCCACTGCAGTGTGCATCATAGCGACTGATTGTTCTTGTCATTCTGGTCGTTCCACCGTTCTAGTCACTTGGCTTTTATATATATAGATAGCTGACATAAATTTAAGGTGTACAACAGGATGTTTTGATGTACATTCACATTGTGAAATCAGAAGCACTATAAGGTCAGTTAATGCATCCATTACCTCACATAGTTCGTCGTTATTTGTGGTGAGAACATTTCAGATCCACTCTCTCAGCAGCTCTCAGGTACATGGTCGTGTTGTTATTGCATCACCCTGCTGCTCATCAGGCCCCAGATTACAACTGAGAGTTTGCCCCCTTGACCGTTATTCTCACCCCCACCCCAGCCTGGAGACCATCAATCTACTCTCTGTTTCTATGTGTGTGTTGGTGTTTTAGCGTCTGCATATAAATGAAATCGTACAGTTGCCTGTCTCTGCCTGACTTATTACACTGAGCATGTTTTCAAGGTCCATCCATGTTCTCACAAATGGCAGCATTTCCTTCTTTTCCTTCTACTATTCCGCTGTGAGTATAGACCTCGCTTTCTTTATCCAAGTCTCCGTGGAGCTGGACTTGCATTTTTGACAATCCCAGGTGATGCTGAGATGCTGGTGGCCGGAGGACCAGGCTTGGAGCACCACTGCGCTAGGGGGAAAGCTGAGCTGCTCCATCCGAGAGTCTGGGAAGCTGGAAGAAGACAGAAATCTGACATCCACACAGTCCCAAAGAACAGTCCAGGTTGGTGGGAACCAGCTGCCTACATTCCCGTGAGGACTGGACCACAGCCTCCTCTGCACAGTGGACCCGGTCAGGGCCATTCCACCTCCCAGCCTGGGCAATGAGAGAGGAGAGGATCCTGGGCGGGCAGTTTCCCAGGAGGCAGGTGAGGAGGAAGCTGCCCTGGTGCCCCTCTCCTGCTGCCCCGGCTGAGCGGCATCACGGGCCTGCCCCTGGCCGCTGGGAGCCGGGCAGTGAGGTCGGCAGACAGCCTTGTTCGCAGGAAGGAGGGGACAGAGGACTCGGGAAGCCAGGCCACAGTCGCCCGACTAGAAAAGAGCAGGAACAGGGAAGGTGCGTCTGAGATGTGCCTGCATCCAGGAGCGTCCAGGGTGGGAGCGGGCGCCCAGAGCAGGGAAGAGGGCTAAGAGCGTGGGACTGTCCAGCGCTGTTCCTGTGCCCCTTCCATTGCTGTGGCGCTGTCACTCTTCCTTCGGACACGTGAGGAGTAACCTAACCAAGAAAACAGCCTGGGAGCAGTTCCTAGCAGGATGGTCTCCAGGCCAGCCCCGTGCACCTCCTCCTCCAGTGCCTAGTCCTGCTGCCGTCCGATCCAGGGTCTGGGGAGACAGGGCCCTCAACAGCATCGGTGGAAACTCCTGGCTCCAGGCCAGACAGGCAGCACGACCACTAGCCCCCTCTGAGAACCCTCTGACCTCTGCAGCCCCTCTGCCCCCCTGCAGCCCCTCTGCCCCCTGCAGCCCCCTCTGCCCCCCTGCAGCCCTCTCTGTGCCCCCTTGAAGCCCCCTCTTAGACCCGCCCACAACCCCCTCTGAGACCCATCAAAGACCCCTCTGCCTCCCCTCTGCAGCCCTCTCTGAGCCCCTTTGGAGCCCCCTCTGAGACCCCTTAGAGACCCTTCTGAGATCCCTCTGCCTCCCCCTAAAGCCCCCTCTGCCCTCCTCTGCAGTCCCCTCTGCCCCCCCTCTTCAGCCCCCTCTGAGCCCCCTCTGAGCCTGCAGCCCCCTTCAAAGCAGTATTCTGAAGAGCAGTGAGCCCTGTCCAAGCCCACTGGCCACGTGTGCCCAGGATGGCCTCCCTGCGCCATGTGCGGGGCAGGTGTGGGTGAAATGGCTCCCACACTGAGGGTGTCCAGGCCATGGAGCTGGAGGGGCGGCTGCAGGTTCTCTCGGGAGTTATCACTGGCCGGGCCACCAGAGCTGTGAGCGGTCCCAGGGAGCCAGAGCCGCATGGGCAATGGCCTGTTTCATTCCCCTCGGGGCCTCTTCCCTCATGGGAGAGAGAGCTGGTGACAAATGTCTTCATTAAAGTCAGGGGGGACGTGTAGCTCTATGTCTCTCCGAAGTAAGAGATACAGGAGAGTCACACAGATATCAATGGGACAGACCACTGTGGCCTGGAAGTCCTGGGAAAACTGGGTTTAGTGATGATGATGAAGATTCCACACCAAATTCCAATGTGTGGATCCCCCCCCACCCACCGCCCCCAAGCAAGGTTCCAACACACCAGTTTGGAATCCTACAATCCAACTCAGTCCTGACACTGATGCCGGTGGAAATGGGGTCCTTTCAGAGTCACGAGAAAGCATTTCGGGGACCTATTCATGGGACGGGGAGGTGTGGCATTCATTGGGGCTGAAATAAGTGACTGCCCCCGGATTCCAGGTCTCCTCTCACCCATTCCGTGGGGAAGAGGCCCAGAAGAAAGGCCGGGGTCTGGAAACCCTGTGCACTGGTTCATCCGGTCCAACGCCCAGCCAGCTCAGCCTGGGTCCCTGTGGGGCTGCTCAGCCTCGGTCCCTGCCGGAGATACGTATCACAGTGATATGAAAGGGCGGAACTCATGGACAGCGGGCGGGAGGAGCTGCAGGGCCAGGTGTGAGAGCATCGTGCTCCCCAGATCTCTGCGTGTCCACCAGCCCAGAAGCTCTCAGCACCGGTCCTTCGGGATGTTTCCTGAGGTTTTATCAGGTGCACATGAGTGAGTAAATCATCAGCCACCGACAGGGCACTCAATGCCCCGAGGGCTGAGGGCGGGACTGAAAGCTCAACCCTCTGTCCACCGGGCAGGCTCCCAAGACAGCGCATCCTCAGGGGCTCCCCAAACTCACCCCCCTGGCAAGACAAAGCCTTCCTCCTTCTCCCAAAGGCAATGCCAGGGCCTTGGGAGCTCTGTGCGATGGAGAGGGAGACTGAACACATATCTATAGGAATCACAGTGTCACCATGACGACGCTGATGCTGACGGTGACCTCGACCAGCACAGCACTAAGGATTAGATGCTGTGCCCTGGGCCTGTCCATTGAGTGTGCCCCATGACACACATCCTCCCCTTATAACACCATCCATATGTAATTGTGGCTCAGAAGTTGAAGTTCTTGCCGGGCTCATTCAGCGGGTAGGTGGGGTGTCAGAGCTTGTCTTCCTCCCCATGGCGGACACAGTGAGCCAGCGCCCGGGGCTGAGTCCAGCTGGCACGTGGTTTTGTTGACCCTCAGAGGCTGTAATTCTTTTCATCGGTTGCCAATACTTGAATGTGAGGTTTGGGATGTGTTGGATTCTTTTTATCCCAGTTTCAGGCTCCTGGGAAATTCAGAACAATTCCCACATTCCCGTCACGTTGTTCATTCTCTGGTTAAGCCAACCTTGCCATCTCCACAGGGGCATTCGGGCCGCTGCCCACTGCCCGGCTCCTGGCTGTTAGGTGCCACCCAGGGCTTCCTCTGGGCCTTGCTGGTTTCTGGGTCTCTAGCTGGGCCTGACAGAGTCCAGGTAATGGGTCCATTTCCCTTAAGAAGCGTGACCGAGCTGAGTTGAGAAGGGGGATTGGTTTGGGGGGGCGGGGCCTGCGCTCTGGCTGCCTCTGCAGGAGAAAGCAGCCAGCCTGGGAGGAAGGTGCTGGGTGCCGGCTCAGTGATCCCCCGAATTTACAGCGACTGTGAAATCACATGAAAGATCTGATCACAGTCCCCGCCAGCCGCCCAGCTGCAATGGCCTCTGCGTTTTCCTTAACTGGGTTTTAATTTCCATATTTCATATTCGGGGCCTGGTGGCTGGAGGCCTGCCTGGGCCCGGGCCCATCCTCATGCTCTCGGTGAGGCGCTCAGACCGGAGACACGCAGTTGCAGTAGAAAAGCATTTGAGCTCAGGGTTGGCGCTTTGTTCCCGCTCCTGGGCCTGCAGACAGCAAAGGGACTCAATTAAACCAACGGAGACAAGGAATTGAACACATCACAACCCCACGTCTCTGAGAGTCTATCACCGACCAGGGACTCCCAGGAGTCAAAGGCTGCCCTCCCTCCCTCCCCCTGCAGAGGGAAAATCACAATGATTTCAGCTTGGTCTCTCTCTCTCCTTCTCTCCCTCATCTCTCTCTCTCTCTCTCTCTCTCTCTCTCTCTCTCTCTCTCTCTCTCTCTCTCTCTCTTTCTCTCTCTCTCTCTCCCTCTCTCTCTCCCTCCTTCCCTCTTTCCCTGGGGCTCCTCCTGAAGTCTCTTCTGAATCTTTGGGCTCCAGGGTGGATCTGTCCTTGGGGAACATCGAAAAGGAGTGATGGAGACTCTTTCTTTCCTCCTTCCTCCTCAAAGTCTGTCCTCTTGCCTCCCAAAGCAGATCACACACACACACACACACACACACACACACACACACACACCCGCCCTGTGCCTGGCACAGCTGTGTTCATTAAACATTAGTTCCTTGCCTGGGCTCTGGGATGGTCAAGGTCGCCTCTGCCTCCCCTGGAGATTCTGGGGCCCGATGCCCACACCAAAGCCGAGCTCCATGCAGAGAAGTCAGAGTGACTGTGGGCTAAAACTCCCGGAGACCCGGGGCCACCTCATCGCCCTTTTGACCCCATCTCCATCTTGTCATCACCTTCCCCGTGCCCTGAGGACAAAGACCGATCCCACCCCATTCCAGCCCAGTCCAACCGACAGGGCAGGCGGTGCGCTGCCTCCGCTGGGAAGAACTCAGTCCCGTGGCAAGGAGGCATAGGCGTCCTCCAGGCAGTCCCGGGAGGGTGGGCACTGACCATGGCTGCGCCCTTGCAGCAGGAGCAGGAGGAAGACAGGCCTCAGGAGGGATTCTGTCTCCTTCCAGTGCCCGTGGCTGCCCCACTAACACCGGTGCAGGCAGCAGAGCCGACTCCGGAGGAGGAAGGCATTCCTGGGCATTGGGGCAGGGGATGGGAAAGGCATTTTGTAAAGTTTCAGGGAGGGGAGGGAGGGAAGGAGAGAGAAAGGGAAGAGGAAGGGGATGCGTAAAAGGAAGGAGGGAGAGCTGGGCTCTGAGGCCTCTGCTAAGATCCCCGGATGTGTCTGACCGGGCCTGGTCCCCAGCACCTGGTGGCCAGCCGCCACTCCCCCGCCTGGAGCCCAGCAGCAAGCCCACGGCATCCACAGCTTAATAAAGGAGTCACAATTTTATTGTCAAGAGCATGTGCCAATCCCATCCAAATCAATTAATGCCTTAATCACACTGTAAATGGAGCAGGACGGGGAGCGTCCATGTGGGAGCAATGAATATTACTCGTATTTAACTGCCAAAAGCCACTGATACCATAAAGCATCCTCGAGGTTGCACAATAAAACCCGAAGTTTAATTGGTGGGTAACAAGGCCCCAGGCAATTGTACCTTATTAATGCTGACAACAGGGACGTATGTGCGCGGCCGCCACTGGGAGCCACGTCAGCCCAGGGACGCGGACGGATGAGCATGTGGCCCAATCGCGGAAGATTTAGGATCTCCTTCACAAATGGGTCTTCTCAAACGCCAGGCCGTAAATACGCATTGTCCCCCAGGGAAGTTTGGGAAGAGGTAAAGGAACTAAGAATAGAGGCTCGTGGGTACAGGTAGGCAGACCAGGAGGAAGGCCAGGCCAGCCGTTGGAGCTGCACAGGAGGTGGCCCATGGTGGGGTGAAATCCTAGCCTGAGCCCCACCCGCCAAGCAGGTCTTTGGCCTGGGCTCTGCCTGCCCTGAGAAGGGGGGGTTTCCTCTAATCCCGCCACCCCAAGGGGGTTGCACGTGCTCTGAGAAACGAGGTTCCTCCACTTGAGCAGAGACATGCTTTCGGAATGTTACTGCTCGACCTCAGTTTGCTCATTCAGTCATCAAACACAAGCTTCGAAGCCTTCTGACAATGGAGTGTTAGTCTAGACCTGCAGACACGGGTGGCCTCCCAGGTCAGGAGGACATACTGTCCTGGCCCAGAGCTGCCCAGAGTCTATGGGAGGGACCGGCGTCCCCAGCTGTGCCAGGGCTCCTGCAGTAGGCACCGAGGCCTTTCTTTCTCACCCACCTGTCACCTCCAGGCTGCCAGTGCCTTGTTCATCTGTCACCTCAAAGTCTAGCCTAATGTCAGCCACACAGGCTAGTCACACTTACTGTACTTCCTAGGAACTAAAAATTTAAGAAGCACTTTATACACATTGACACCTTCATTTCTGCTCTGGAGGGGGTCCTACAACAGTCTCAGCCTCCAAAACACTCTCTCCACCAACCTCCAGGGGGCAGCACACATTTCTCTTTAAGGCAGTGGTTCTCCACATTCCTAATGCCTGGACCCTTTAACCCAGTTCCTCATGTTGTGGTGACCCCCAACCATAAAATTATTTTCATTGCTACTTCATAACTGTAATTTTGGGTTTGTCTGTAGTCTGTCATAGCTATCCAACTCTGCCATCACCGCACAAAAGCAAGCACAAACCATCAAGCACGGCTGAAATTTATGGATGCTGACATTTGAATTACACAGAATTTTCACACGTCACAAAGCACTATTATTCTTTTTCTAAAATCATTTAAAAAATGTAAACACCCATTTTTAAATCGTGGCCTATGGACTGTACTTCAAAACCACTGCTGTTTGCTGATGAGGCTAGATGTCTGCACACTACATTTCCCAGAATTCCTCCAGCTGACTTCCTGTGGGCTCTGCCAGCTGGAGGCACTGCCCATACACACAGGGGCAGAGGGGGGAAGGGACTCACTCCTGTTCAGCATTCAATCCCTGCAACAGCATCCCTCCAAGGCTCAGCCACTCCCTTCACCATCACTGAGTGCCCCGGAGGGTAAACCCCAGCCACCTGGGGTCCCCTGAGAAGTGAGAACCACCTGTGAGGACCCTCCTTCGAGGTCCAAGAGCCCAGATACAGGGGATCCTCCTGTGCGCCCCTAGTTCTGCAACCTTCCCTCTTCCCCTGACCCGCACAGGGGATGGCGGCTGCTTCCTGCGTCTCTGAGGTCCAGGACACACCTGTGCCCTTTCTGCTCTTTCAGGTCCCTGACACTCACATCACGTTCCTAAATGAAACCTTCTTCATTTGAACTATCTAGTTCACCCCAACGTGCATGTCTCCATGCAACAAACACCCCAACATGCATGTCTCCACTTTGTAGATGAGAAAACTGAGGCTCCTAGATGCTTAGATCTTTTCTAAGGCAATGCAGCAGTCCAGTCAGGAGTTCAATATCACAGCAGAGGGAAAAGGTAGACTTATACTGGAACCAGTGACTGTCTGGCCCCAAGGCATTCCAGTGTGGAGAGCTCACGGCCCACGTTGCTGCCTCGAGCCCAGCATGGGCCTCTGCGCCCTATGCACTGTGTTCTGCGACCAAATGAATTAATGAAAGAACGACCTGGCATCTTTGAACCGTGTAATGGCCGGGCATGCAATACGGTGCAGTAGAAGACTGCTGGGAAAACACAGAAGAATTTATGTTTTAGGCCAGCAGTTCTCAATCCAGGCTGCACATTAAAACCTCCAAAACTTTAAAAAGTCCTGGATTGGGCCTAAATGGGCAGTCGGACATCCCTCAAGGGGTCTCAGATTGGAGAGGGTGTAGGCTGAGCTGTGGGACACCACCCCATCACCCCCTGCCGTGCATGAATTTCGTACACTAGGCCTCTAGTATATCTCTATACTGCCACTAAATTTGAAAATTAAATGAAATGATATTTACAATAGATCATCAATAACATCAACTTTTAGGAACAGTTTAAGTGAATGCTATGCAAAAGCTGTGTGCTAAAAAAACTACACAACATCAAGCAGTGCTGCACGAGAGGAAACAAGACCTCCATAAATGGAGAGCTACGCCATGTCTGTGGACCGGAAGGCTTAATTCGTTAGGAGATAAGTCTCCCTACATTGATCCTCAACTTGATGCAAACTCAATCAGCATCTCAGCAGCTGTTTTTTGTAGAGATTGACAAGCTGATTTAAAAACCTTTGTATAAATGAAAAACCTAGTGAATGATTATAAAAAAAAATTATTTGGAGGACTCCTCAACCTGACTTCAAATTTATAATAAGGCATAATAATCAGCATTGGCATAAGAATCGTGGCAACAAAAGAGAGAATCCAGAAAAGCACCCACACTCAAATGTAGTGTGCAGACATCTAGCCTCAAGTCACCTGGTTTTGTTTTTATGATGTTGACTAAGCAGTTAAATGTGGAAAAGAAACAGCTTTTCAACAAAAAGCATTAGAACGACAAAATAAGCATATGGGGGAAAAGCAAATCATGATCTCTACCTCACACCATACACACACACACAAAAAAAAGAATTAAAGATGGTTCCTAGATATAAACTTAAAAGCTAAAACTATAAAGTTTTCAAAACAAATGGAAAATTAATTTCACAACTTTGGCACAGGTTTCTTAGGAAATAAAAAGTGCTAGCCATAAAAGATAGTAAGTTGACATTCATCAATATTTTTACACCATTAAGAAATAGGTAAGCCATGGTCTTGGAGAAAATACATATCTGACAAAAGAATAGAATCTATAATACATAAAGAACTTCTAAAAATCAATTATAACAGGCAAACAACCCAATAAAATTGTCAAAAGTCTTGAATATTTTACAAAGAAAATGTATGAATGGCCAGTAAGCACATGAAAAGGTGCTAAACATCATTGGCCATCAGAAAGATAGTAATTAAAACACATTAAATACTCATTACAATGGTGCAGTAACACCTCACACCCAGCCGAAGGGCCACCATGTAAAAGACGGCAACACCAAATAGCAGTGAGCATGTGGAGCAGCAAGAACTCTAGCGCTCGGCTGTTGGGAATGTGAGACGGTGCAGCCACTGTAGAAATCGTTTTGTTAGTCTCTCTTATAGTTAAACACACACCAGCCCTACAAACCAGCACTTCTACACCTGGGTGCTATCGACGAGAAATGAAAACATGGCCACGCACAGAGTTTTTCAAGAATGCCATCGACAGCTTGACTTGCCACAGCCCCAAACTAGAAACAACTCAGGTATCCATCAAGATGGACAAATCTTGCTACACCTACACAGGAAACTATGCAGCAATGAAAAGGGGCAAACACTGCTGACTCTCACAGGCCTTACAGCAATAGAAAGACGTCAGACTCCATATATGCGAAGCTCAAAACCAGTGGTGAAGAGCGAGCAGTGTTTGCTTCTGCAGCAGGGGTCAGAGTGGACGGGAAGGGCATGAGGAAACCATCGGAAGTGATGGCATTACTCTTGGTCTTGGTTGGGGTGCGGGCTACATGGGTGTATGCATTTGTCATGACCTTCAGTGGTCGGCAAACTCATTAGTCAACAGAGCCAAATATCAACAGTACAACGATTGAAATTTCTTTTGAGAGCCAAATTTTTTAAACTTAAACTTCTTCAAACGCCACTTCTTCAAAATAGACTCGTCCAGGCAGTGGTATTTTGTGGAAGAGCCACACTCAAGGGGCCAAAGAGCCACATGTGGCTCGAGAGCCTCAGTTTGTCGACCATGGCCCTAACCAGTTTGGCTCAGTGGATAGAACATTGGCCTGTGGACTGAAGGGCCCCAGGTTCCATTCCAGTCAATGGCAAGTTACCTTGGTTGCGGGCACATCCCCAGTCGGTGGTGTGTAGGAAGTAGCTGATTGATGTTTCTCTCTCATCAATGTTTCTAACTCTCTATCTCTCTCTCTTCCTCTCTGTAAAAAAAAAAAAAAAAAAAAAAAAAATCAATAAAATATTTTGGGGAAAATAAAAAAAACAACCTTGAGCTGTATGGTTAGGGTCTGTGCATATTACGGTTGTTGGCAAGGGTGTGAGAAAATTCACCAGCAGGCGTTCCTGGGGAGAGTGCCACTGGTCTTCTCTGGAGAACAATTTCTCTCAGCATACACAGAGACCCGGCAGTCCACGCTCAGAGTCCTCCTCCAGATGAGCTCGTGCATGATGCAGACATAAGGTGGTTTGTAGGAATGCATAGCAATCCGTCCAGAAAGGGCAGGCTGGGTGAATTGCGATGCTACCTTTCAACAGAACCCCACGCCGCTGTTAAAATAATAAGGCGGTCATTATGTACTGATAGGAAATGATATGTGAGACATAATATATTGGTCCACTGGAAAAAGTGTGGAACAGGGTTCATAATATCCTTCCATCAGTGCACGAATAGATGTGCATGTGTGATATATCCTGAAAGGGGCATAAAAACTAGGCGTGCTTTTGCCTCTGGGACCAGGCTGGCAGCCTGGGAGGCTGGAAGCTAGACACGGGAGAATTATGTTCACTGCATCATCCCTTTTATTGTCTGAGTTTGTTAGTTTGTTTGTTTGTTTACCACTCGGGTGTCATGTAAATCAACAATTTTTTAAAAGCAAAGAAAAAGGCCAGCACTCATGGAGCCAATCCATTTTCCCTGGCACTTGACCCTGACCCTTTTAGCGCCTGCGCCCATGAACCTGAGTCTGCCCTGCTCCCATCACAGCGCCAGAGCATTTTTGTCTCCCTCCTTAGCCCTGACCTCAGCCCCACCCACGGCTCACTCTGCTGTCCTCCAGGTTCTTTGTCAGCCAACACTGCCCCCTACCACTGAGCATGTGAATGATTGGGTTTCCAGGCCTTTTATTTATTCCTGGCTTTTCCCAGCTAAGCAGACCCATGCATAGCTAACACTGCGTCTAGCCAGCCAGATAGATGTCCCAAAATGAGACCGTGAAATATCCCTATAATTTTCAGATGCCTTAAGACATACACTCTTAAATATTTAGTAGATTATAAATGACCCAAAGCTTAAGTCCATCTTTTAAACATAACTTCTTAATGAGCCTACACAGACAGTTTGCCCCCAGCCTGAAAGCAGAGATAATTGTGGCTCTCCTGATGAATAGGAGGGCGGGCGCCGGAATCGCCGTGCGGGGTTAATGAAGGGTTCTAGGGGCTCTGGGCCCACTCCAGGGGCAGATTAGCTGCTCACAGCTCTCTGATCCCGCGCCTGGCAGCCTGCTGCGCAGAGACTGCGAAGAGGGAATCAAAGAACCTGGTGTGAAGCCTGAGCCTGCCACGAGTTCTAGGCCAGGCCTCGAGCACGCTGGGTCTCCTTGCGGGACCTCTGTGCCCTTTGGCCTCGAATTAGCAAATCTCAGGCTTTTACAGCCTTCAGCCTGAGACTTCTGAGCATTTGCAATTATAATCATTCGTAAAATATGTCTCACAATACAGGAGAAGAAAATAAGCAACAAGGATTTTTAAGGGAAAAAACTTCTTAAATGGGTTTATAAAGAAGAAACACCCCCTGACCGGTTTGCTCAGTGGATAGAGCCTCGGCCTGCAGACTCAAGGGTCCCAGGTTCGATTCCGGTCAAGGGCATGTACCTTGGTTGCGGCACATCCCCAGTAGGGGTGTGCAGGAGGCAGCTGATATATGTTTCTCTCTCGTGGATATTTCTAACTCTCTACCCTTCTCCCTTCCTCTCTGTAAAAACTCAATAAAACATTTAAAAAAGAAGAAGAAACACCACGTTTCTCTTAATTCTTGTTGCTCCAGCACCACCATGGAGCTCATTCAAAATGCAGAATCTCGGGCCTCACCCCAGGCCCGCTGAATCCAAAACTGAACTTGAACAAGACTCCCAGGTAATGCGTTGGCGCTTCCGGAACCATGAGTGCCCAGGGGTCTGTGTACCACCCTCACCTTTGGGAACCTTCTGTCCTCGGCCACTCTGGCCAGAGCAGACGCGCCCAGTGTGAACGAAGTCTCACAACAGGAAATGCCTACACAGTCCGCTCAGTGGCAAAGGCGCCTGGATCCGACGCCACGGGAGCAGCGGGGCCGGCGGCTGAGTGGAAGGAGCTTATTTCAGCTGAGGCGGCCCAGACACAGTCAGCACCAGTCAGCGGCTGCCTCGGGGGGACTCAGGATCTGTGCTGCCATATCTCATCTTTTTTAATGAACACAGGTATTCAGATTTCTGTGTGAAATCTCAACCATAAAAAAACCTTCAGGTATAATCATGCTTTCAAGAGCTTTGAAACAAGAATAAACTGGATGGATTCAATGCAACAAAAGTAGGCTAAGGTGGCTGGAGTGTGATGCGTGGCAGGGAAGTGGAACAAGCCTCGAAGGGGGAGGAGGAGGTGTTGGCCAGGACAGGAGGTGACAGAGACATGGCATTTGTTAGTGTTAATGGTGGTGAAGGCACAGAGACTGGCGCCCACGCGCTCCCTTGGCTGTCTCTGCACTTCAGATGAGTGGCTTCATGCTTAGAGCCTGCTTCCCCGTCTGTACAATGGAGCTGACGAGGGCATGCAGCGCGAGGGTCAGTGCCCAGGACCAAGCTCCACATAACAGGCACTGAGCAGAGCATCCAGACAGTGGAAGCTCCATAACTGGTCGATATGGCTGGGAGCATTTGCTTTCTTCTCCCGAGAACACTAAAATGCCATGAGCACCTGCTGGGGGCCAACCACACACTGACTTCTCACAATGGGCTCACCAGCGCCTCCAAAGTTCCCGGATGAGGAAGGAGCACAGCAAGGCCTGGGGAGGGCTTCTTTTTGTAAGGCTCCTCCTCCCAGGGTGCCTTGGCTGCCCTGACCCAGCCCAGCCTCATACCCACTCCAGACCCTGACCCAGCCCAGACACAGCCCCAGACCCAGACATAGCTCCAGCCCCAGACACAGCTCTAGACCCAGCCCAGCCTCAGACCCAAACCCAGCCCTAACCCCAACCCTAGCCTCAGCCCCAGTTCTAGCCTCAGCCACAGCCCAGCCCAGACCCAGCCCAGCCCAGCTACAGCCACAGCTCACCCAGACCCAGCCTTAGCCCCAGCCATGCCTTTGGACTCACATTCCTTTGCCCCCAGTGCTCTGTTTTGTAGTCCGATCAATTTTCAAGGCCCACTTTCAAAGCAAAGCCATGTCTTCATTCAACAGGCATGTAACTGGCATCAATCGTGTGTTAGGCACTGAGCTAGATCTCAGGGATGCAATTGTGAACAGACCCCTGACCCTGTGTGGGGTTTTTCCTAGTGGAGAAGATGGGTGTAAACATGAGTAAATAAGACAATGTCAGTAACTCCCACCAAGGTGATAAGATGGGAGAAAAGGAAAACCATTTCAGGTAGGCATTCCTGCTATCCCTCTAGGCAGAAAGTTTAGAATGAATTTGCCTGGACCAAAGGTTGAAGGCTGACTGTTCTAGCCAGGAGCTCACTGGACCATCATCTACTCATTCAGTCATTCATTGCACACGTGTCTATGGAAGCTACACGCTTGCCACGCCTTCTACAAAGCAATGGGGAGACGAGGTGGTGAGACAGGGTTCTGATCTTCAGAGAACTTTCCGTCTGCTGATGAGCAGTGTTGTATTAACAGACAACTAAATCAGAATGAATCCTTTTTTAAAAAAAAACAAAGCTTTAAGTAAAGCATTTATTTCATTTTACAAAACGTTAAGGTCCCTGTGGGTTATTGTTCTTGGAGAAATTCAATTAACCTTTGCTTTCTCAATTTCTTGACTCTCCAAGTCCACCCAGATCAACTAGTAGTAGTGCCCTCTGATGGCGAGAAATTGCAGACAAGGCCTCCGAGAGGTCAGCCAGGGGGTCCTGTTATAAAATTGTGATGCCCGAGTCGCTGCTTGGATAGGATCAATGTGTCTCACAGTGTGTCTCCTTCGCTGGCCCTGGCTAATGGAAAATGTGCAGAAGTCGGCATAATGAAAACAGTGTATGCTACGCAATGTCTCCTCTCGTACATAATAGCAAGCATACCCACACTCTACAGATTGATATCATCGCAGCCCTGTGACGTGCACATTGTCCTCCATCATACAGAGAAGGAAGCTGTGAATAGCTTGCCTGGGTCCCTGGTTAGTGAGCAGTAGAAACAGGATTTCAACCATACATTTGTCTTCCAGAGTCCAGAGTCCTAACATGCTGCATATAAGAAGAGTTTGCAGCTGTTAGGATTTTAAAAGATTTTCAGATCCAAGATGGCAGCTGAGTAGGTGCAAGTTACACTCATCTCCTTCAGGGACTATATCAACGTTACAACCAAATGATAGAACAACCCACCTGGAGAGCCATCTGCAGACCAGCTGGACAGAAGTCCTGTGACTCAGGATGTACAGAGAAGCCGTACTGAGACTGGCAGGCAGAGTGGAGATGAGGGAAGGGCTGACCTCACAGCCACGGGGGGTGCTGGGGAAGCTGGGTGGATATCTCAGCTGCAAAGGTCCCCCCTGAGTAGTGAAGAGTCTCAGCCCCATGCTGGGCTCCCCAGCCCAGAGGAGCCCACACACCACCTAGCTGTGAAAACCAGCAGGGATTCCATCTGCCCTGGGAGACAGAAGGCTGCTTGGATACCCCTAGGCCCCCTTAAAGGGCCAACATACAATTCTCTCCCGCACACACACATCCTGGGCTCCAGCAGATAGCAGGCAGCTGGAGGGAACCAGATTCATACAGGGTGAAGTTGGGGTAGGTGGCTTCAGAGAGGTCTGGAGGGACAGCCACCAATGTCCATGCATGGAGTCCCTCTCCCATACACCCTCTGATGCATCTTTCCTGGGTCAAGCCTCTTCTCCTTAGCCTCCTAGCCCGCCCTGCCCCCACCCTGTGCCTAGACGGATCTGCTGGTGTGGCCAGCATGGCCCTAGATTGCAGTCTGTACTGAAAACATATGAAGAAGTAAAGGCAAACTCAGGGGGTGCCAGAGACACAAGGGGAGAAACTGAGCTGGGTGGCCTCAAGCCGAGGGCCACCCCCGCCCCCCACCCCCGCCCCCACACACCCGAAAGGCGTTGCAGTTCCGGTTAGAGCCCTCCCTCCACGTCCAAACCTTCATCTGCTGTTTAACCTGGTGAACTACACTGGCTCCACCTGAACAGTCCAGAGACCCTGCCCTGTTGCAGAGGTCCCAGGCCCCGGGCAGGGGCAGCTGGCCTTGGTGTATCCTGAGAATTTTGCTGAGTCACCTCAGACCCAGCACTGGCACCGAGTTAAAAGCTGGATTGACCTGTGAACACCACTCGCCCAGCTGGGGACTGGCTGAGAGCTGCCTCGCACAGCTTGCAGATGGCCGAGGCTCTCCCATGGCTGAGCCTAATGAGAAGCTGCCAGGAGCAGCAGATCTTGAAGGGCCGTGGGCCTTCTGCTGGCATAGCAGACTCACCTGAGACACAGAAGTACATAAAGGGAGGGTGCCAATGTCAGAGGTAAACGGGCCAAAATGGAAGAACAGGAGACATCTCAGGAAAAAGAGTTAAATAAAATGGAGGCAAGCAACCTACCAGATACAGAGTTCAAAACAACGGTTACAAAAATGCTCAAGGAACTTAGTGAGAACTTCAGCAACATGAAAAAGGATGTAGAAGCCATAAAAATGACTAGTCAGAAACGAAAAATACAATAAATGAAATAAAGAATACACTATAAGAAATACACAGCAGATTAGATCAAGCAAAGGGTCATGTCAGCAATTTGGAAGACAAAGGTGGCAAAAAACACTAAATCACCAAAGCAAAAAGAACATTTATAATGAGGCTGGTTTAAGGGACTTTGGGAACAATGTCTGCATTCTAGAGGCACCAGAAAGAAAAGAGGGACAGTAAGGAAGTGAGGACCTATTTCAGCAACTCTGCCATCACCCATCATACTAAGCTAATGCCATTAACTGGGAAATACCCAGAAGGACTTCTGAAGGACAGGTTGGAAAACCCAGGCTCGGGACATGTGGAGGCATGCAGGCAAATGCAGGCAGACACAAGAGGCCAGGCAATTTCATGTACCTGTGTGTGGCTGGAGCACATAGTGTGAGGCCGGGTGCAGAGAGCGAGGCGGGAGCCAGGCTTCAGGATGGATGGGGGCAGCATGACCCCAGGACCAGCTTGGAGAGGGTGGGGTGACCGCTGGGAGAGCAGCTTCAGATTCAGTCATTCCGAGGGGAGCGCCGAGGAGTGAAGATTATTGTCCATGGCTGGCACCCGGTGGGCAAACACACCCGTAATGAGCATGCGTCTCCCCTTCACTCAGGAGGGAATAAAAGCAAAGCAAGCATGCAAAGGGGTCTCCTGGGGTAGCAGTTGGAGCAGTGAGATGGGCTCAGGAAAACGGAATGTCCGTGGCAGCCCTGGAGGTCAGCCTCGCTCCTCGCTCCTCCCCCTGTGCGCAGAGAGCCCATCTTTGCTGACATCACAGGAGCCCACACCCTGCACCTCCATCTGTGGGCACTTCTGGGAGTCACGTCACCACCCTGTTGCCACAGCCACACATCTGCAGGAGCCTGTGCAGCAGGAGCCTTGCAGGGCGGGCTTTGAGGCAGAAGTGATGGTCCACTCTGTATGAGATCGAGGGGATGGTCATCGGAGAATGGCTGAGAGAGTGAGGCCAGGAGGAGGGCTGAGAAAGAGAACACGCAGCTCAGGTGGTGCTGGTGGGGGCAGCAGGGTGCGGGGAGATGTGGTAGGTGTTTAGATTGTCAGGATCCAAAGACCACCGCATGTGAAGGATCCAATGATCACCGCATGTGAAGGATCCAATGATCACCCAGGTGAAGGATCCAATGACCACCGCATGTGAAGGATCCAATGACCACCGCATGTGAAGGATCCAATGATCACCGCATGTGAAGGATCCAATGACCACCCATGTGAAGGATCCAATGATCACTGCATGTGAAAGATCCAATGACCACCGCATGTGAAGGATCCAATGGCCACGCATGTGAAGGATCCAATGATCACCCAGGTGAAGGATCCAATGACCACCCAGGTGAAGGATCCAATGACCACCGCATGTGAAGGATCCAATGATCACCGCATGTGAAGGATCCAATGATCACCGCATATGAAGGATCCAATGACCACTGCATGTGAAGGATCCAATGGCCACCGCATGTGAAGGATCCAATGATCACCGCATGTGAAGGATCCAATGACCACCCAGGTGAAGGATCCAATGACCACCGCATGTGAAGGATCCAATGACCACCGCATGTGAAGGATCCAATGATCACCCAGGTGAAGGATCCAATGATCACCGCATGTGAAGGATCCAATGACCACTGAATGTGAAGCGAGAATAGACAAGGACTATGCCTGGGTTTCGGGTTGGGGCCCTGAAGGTGTCAGATGAGAAGATGTGGGTACCCAGGGGTACCTGGTTTGGAGAAAAAGCAGGTGAGATGCTAGCAGGAAGGAAAGGGAAGGGTCTGGGGCTGAAAAAGGTTGGGCTGGAACTGGAAGTTAGGCAGCTGTGGTTGTAGAGATAGAATTCATCAATTAACTGGCCCGGCAGGGCGGGGCTGGGCAGGGGGGCGGCAGCAGAAAGAGCTGTGAACACCGTGTCCCCAAGTGGCCGGAGGAAGGGCCGCCCAGAATGAGCCTGAGGACGGGCAGGAGAAGCACAGGCTGTGGCCCGGCAGAGCGGTCACTGCGGGGCTCAGCTGGTCACCACCCTCCATGAGGGCTCCGGCCAGCGAACTCGGGGTAAGCTGGATTCCATGTAGGGGGTGACGTGAAATGCTGATGTCAATGGCTTGAAGAGGGGTCGGAGGATGGAGCAGGGAGCCAGTATATGGGCTCATTCTGAATAAATCTTCCTTCCATGGTGGGAAGGGAAGCGATAAGACAATAGCAGTAATTTCCAACCCAGGCTGGTTACAGGGTCACCTGGGCAAGTTTCAAAACGCATGGATTCCCGGGCTCGCCAGTGCTGCCATGCTGTCAGTGCTCTGTGACACCAGCCGGCATCGCTGTGGGAGGGTGAGGAGCTCTGAGCCGGCATTGACAGTGCTGTCACGGGCCTGTTCTTCCAAATGGGGAGGTGCTGAGCATGCGAAACGGAGACAGCAGCAGACGGTGAGCGTGCAGGAGAAACGAGGGCCACGGGCAGTACCCGGGTGTGCACAGGAGGTGGCCTCGGGTGCAGTGGGTTCTCCTTAGAGGCGTTTCCGCTGAAATGAGAAGGCGGGGAGGCCGCTGTGGCTTGCAGGTGGGGAGGCAGAAGCAGAGGAGGGAACGCCCCTGCTGGTGGAACTGAGTGTGAAGCAGAGAAGGAAAGGTGGCAGTGGTGAGGAGAAAGGCCAGGACCTCGGACAGCGGACCTCCAGGAGGCGTCCCAGCAGAGCCCGGAGCCAGATGGGTCTGTGAGGCCCCCTGGAAGATGGGAGCCCCCAGGCAGGGGTCAGGGATAGCTGCTGTCCCCAGGATGAGTGGCACACTCAGTGGTGCTGAGGGGCAGGGTGGCACGCACAGGCTGTGACCCTCTCCACAGCACCGTTGGGCAGGCCGGGCAGGTGGGGACAAGGCTCTGAAAGGACTCAGTGAGGCTGGGGTGCAAGGTGAAGGGTCACCTGGCCCGGCCTGAAAGCCGGGTCCTGATCACAGGGCAGCGAGGGTCATGCAGGAGACGCTGGGGGCAAACGGCAGGGAGCAAGGAGGAACCGGACAGCTCTGCTCCTCCAGGCCCCTCTGGGCTTTGAGAGGTCACTACAGAGTGGGAGGCATCACAACCATCCAGGAGAGGTGACAGACAGTAACCTGGACACTCGGTGGGATTATAACGTAAGAATTGCCTGAACCTGGGCCTGGCTGCTTTGAGGGGCAATGAGCCCCTGTCTATTTTGGAGGACGCTGGGCTGAGGCACCTGAGAGCACATTCCTTGGGTCCAGGGAACCCACCTCCGCTGCCCTCTCCTGGTTGGAAACCTGGCCAGCGGATGGAGGGGCCTCTCCACTCAGCAGGCTGCCTGCTGCTCAGAGCCAGCCAGGAGAGCCCCGCCCCAGCAGGAGGTAGTGGTGGTGGCGTTGATCCTGGGGCTCAGACAGTTTGGCTATAAACAACTTCCCCAGTAATGGGCATTTCCATGTGGAACAACCCAGTAAAGCCCAATTGAGGGCTCTGATGGACTGGAGCTGTCAGACCATTTAAAAGGCTTCACAGAGATTTCTGTCGAGGGTGGACCAGGAGTTCCTGATTTCTCCTCTGGTCTGCCCCTCCTCCTACCCCTGCATCCTCTCAGCCCCACCAGCAGCCCGCTGCAGGGAGGGAGGGAGCACTAAGCTTGGGATGACTTAGAGAGAAGGACTCAGCAGGACGGGAGCAGTCCAGGCAGGGTCCTTCCTTGCCCTGGACAACAGTGCCAAGCGTCCCTGTAGAGCTGGGCACACGACATGGTCAGGGGACCCAGGCAACAACACCCTCAGCACCCTGAGCTTTCAGGCTCCAGCGCTTCTTGTCAGTTTGTCCAGAAACAAGATCCTACCCCACCCACAGGGAAGAGCTGTGCTGGCCGGATCCAGGGCAGCCACAGACACCCAGGCAGCCTGGGAAAGCAGGGAGCAGGGCCAAGGGCAAGAGGCTCGCAGGGATGTGCTGGAGCCTGGAGCCTAGGGGCGGATTACTGGGTAACCCTGGAGGAAGCCTCCTGCCTGAGGCCCTGCTGGACCTGCTGAGCCTTTAGAGACTCTGATCTGAGTAGCAGGGAGGCCCCATGGACAGGACAAAGCTCAGGACCCTGGGCTGGGAGGGGTGCAGCTCCCATCTCCCACCCCCCACCCCCCACTGATGCTGTGGAGGGAAGGAAACCCAGTGGGCATCTTTTATAACGCAAGCTGTGTCGGAACCTGGAGGCAAAGCAACATGGAAGGAAGGCAAGAGAGGAAGGAAGGCAAGAGAGGAAGGAAGGCAAGAGAGGAAGGAAGGCAAGAGAGGAAGGAAGGAAGGAAGGAAGGAAGGAAGGAAGGAAGGAAGGAAGGAAGGAAGGAAGGAAGGAAGGAAGGGAGGGAGGGAGGAGAATGGTGGGGAGGGCACCGCTTCATAGCGATAGGGAGGCTGAGGAAGGCCATGGCTGAACCCTGAGGCGGTGAGCCCTGTCTGGAGAGCACCAGCAGATGGGACTGTGAAAGATGCCCCTCCCAGCCCCCAGATCTTGAATTTGGCGGCTCCTCAAACACTGTCCTAACTCAAGTGCATAGGTCTCTGCCCTCAAGGTGGTCAGCAGCTCCCCACCAACCAAGTGGCCTCCCTGCCTCAAGCCTAGCACCCAAATTCCAAATTCAACTTCAAACCTCCCAGAACTAAATGTATTAATAAAAAAATTTAAAAAAATTTAAAAAAAAAGGTTGCACACCGCACCCAGGATAATTAATGCCCAAACCCTATTTTAGCATTTACTCCACTGGATTCTGAGCTTATCTGCATACCCACCTCCCAAGCTCCAACCAGATCCACTGGCTACTCACTCTCCAAGCACACCCACCATGCATGCCCTTCTGCCTTTCTGCAGGACACGGTCTCCGCATCTTGTGAATGTGATAAACTCCTACACAGTCTTCAAAACCCAGCCCAGGTGTCCCTCCTCTGGTATAAAACATTTCCAAGAGTTCAGGTTTTTTTCCATTTTTTATCTTGACCACAGACTTATTTAGAGCATGCTATATTGAACTAGAGTGGGTTACTTGCAGAAATGTGTCCCTGAATTGGTGAGTTTTGTTTTCTCCAGTTCTGTCTTCTCCACGGGCCCCAGTGTGGGGCAGGCCCTCCGCTCATGGAGGCCCCTAACAGCCCCAACTCACACACATTAACGCTCTCACGGCTCCGAGCCCCATTTGAAAAAGCACTTCTCATCCCCAATCGTCTAAGCTCATCCGCCTGGCTCGCGAAGCCACTCCATATGCAAGTGACTCTAGTCTGGGGAGTAAAATACCCCCCAGCCAGCCTGGGCCCAGGCCCCAGGCCCCCCTCAGAGGCTGGTGTCATCAATCCTACCTCAGCTTCATGAGCTGAGACTGGAGGACAGGTGATTTCCCCCAAAGAAAATCTGGCTGCTCTTACCAAAAAGGGGCGGAATGGATGCCAGACAAGCAAAAATGACAGATGTCGTCTTTGTGACCTTCTGGAGCTTCGATTTCTACATATGAAAACTATGACGTCAGGGTTGTATCAAGCCGACAGCAGAAATAAAAGGGACTGTACAACTCCTTTGACGCTACCATAGCCCTGTGTTCCTCACCCTCTTCAGAAGCTCTCCTCTGTCTCCACCCACCACCTGTGCTCCAGTCCCCGACACCATCTCTCACCCTCACTGTGGTAGCTGTGCCTCGCCAGGCTGCCCCTCCTCACCCTCCCTGGCCGTGGCACCCCTTGGTGCTCTGCAGCCAGGTCCACGCGGCTGAGTTCAGGGAGCTGTGGGCATGGTGTTTCTCTTGGCTGGCACTCAGCCTCATGAATCTAAAGGCCGTCTGAGCTGGACCATTTGTCTGTTCCCCACCGGGCACCCATTGCGCACCCTCCCTGGCCGCGCCCAGCCCTCGGAGCTGCTTGCATATTTCTTTCTCAGCAAAGCTCAGAGGGAATCAGGCCCAAGCCTAGAAGCTGGAACTTTTCCTGTATATCTCATAAAACACCGTGTTCATTTCATCATTTCAATCCAGAGACAGGATTTGCCATGTGAGCGCTGAGGTGCATACAAATGGCCTCTCTACACCTCAGGCTATGGTAAGCGAACTTCTGAGGCTGACAGTTTACTTGATAAATGCCTAATAAAGCTTAAATAATTATTGAAAGCAGACACATGAAAGAGGAGAACAGCAAGAGTGTTGTGGTGATGAATCTCGGGAAAGAAGACAGAGCCACGCAACTCGGGGTGAAGCAGGGCCCAGGAGGTGGGAGAGACCCCTGGCAGGGACAGGGGACCTGGTGCTGGTGGTGAGCGAGCGGCTGGGAGCCCGGAAGCTGTGGGATGGCTTCCCTTTGGGGCCAGTAAATACACAGTGTGTGACCTTTGTCAGCGCTTCCGGAAGAAAGAGAGTCCGGGCAGAATACCCATCCACCTCACTGTCTGTCCCCAATGCCCAGACCTCACTCCTCACTCACCAGCTCAGGCAGTCTCAGTTCCAGTCCTCAGGCTGGAGGAATTCAGAGCATTCTGGGTGCCATCCCCTAACTTAGCCACTGCCCCACCCCGATGGACATCAGGAAGGCGTTCCAAACTTCTCATTCGTTGAGTCCCTTGGTTCAACAGGCATGAAACACCAGCTTTGTGCCCTCCGTGCCAGCAAACTGCGTCTAACCAGAGCGCTAAGCAGGCTACGTGCTGAGCACAGAGCCTTGTGAGCTCAGACCCCTAATCTGGTCAGGGCAAGTGTGGGAGGGGAAAAAGCACGGAAACTGAATCCTGACAGATAATCTCCTGGAGGAAGGCTGCCTCGGCAACAGGAATAGCAAGGGCAAAGGCCCTGGGGTTAGGGGCTTCTTCGGGTCAAATCCTGAGGCCTCAGCCCCACTCTGAGGCTGTGACCCTCCCACCCGAGGAGCCC